TTAACTTGTAAACATCTTAAGTACCATATATGCTATGTATTTACAGAGTAAATTACAAGCATTTTAGATGTTACCAGTACTTTGAAAAATGAATGGTACTCTGAGAATAAGGAATGGTACTTTTCTTCTGATGTGGCCATTCTCATCACAATAGTCTTTTATAGCTTGAGTTCAGCGGAATGGGATGGAACCCTACTGCCCAAGACAACCGCACACTTAAAACATTAAAGATATTCAGAGGTTTTATCTGCAGGGCAGATATAGCTCTCAGCTGGATATTCTACAAAAACAACAGTAGTTTCCTGAAACAGAAAGAAGGATAAACAACATTTTTGATGTTCAGACACATTGTAAGGAAATTTAGTGTAACCATATTTGGCATAAAGTAGGGAGGCTGAAAGCTGAGTATTTCAGTATATTCAGTATTTCCCTACATCAATTGTACATTCAGTACCAAATGAGAAGTCTGACATTCCAGTTCTACTTTTGCTAAACATTGAGGTCTGAGTATGCCGTATGAAAGACCTCTGTCTAAATACCATTGCCCTTGAATTGCATATCAATTTCACTACCCTTTCTCCCTATGGAGGATTAATGATCCTCGTATTTAACATGACTAAATAAAATAACTATACAGCACTGGTTCACCAGTCAAAGAGCAGGGTTACGCAGACAAGGCATGATTGTGTTTTTAAAATAAACCTCATTATGTTTCTGGTTTTCCTAACTATAATTGTCTTGGACATGCCTGGCCTCTACAAGCATTCTTCATGGTTAGATTCCTTTTTTGCATCTCCGGAGCATGCAGACATTTCGCCCGGAGAATCGTTTTAAAGACTAATTTCTTATTGAATAATAAAAAATGCTCGGGGCCAACAGGGTCGTCATGGATGCCTGGGTTTTTTTTTTTTTTTTGGTCGGTATTGCTGATCAATATGCATCAATGTCCAAAATGTTGTAACGGCTTTCACTGCTGTTCCCTTGAGAGATGCCTTGCAAATCATTTGGATCAACACCTAAGTGGGACACTGTGTAGTTCTATAATAAATAATGAGCACATTCCCAGAGGGATGACTGCCTTGCAGTAATGCCTGCTATTTAAATGAGGAGGCTGAATGGTATTTTACTTTGAGCTGTGTATGATGTCGGAAAAATCAGATCTAGAAATGTTACGTTAATAATATCCTTTGGGTTTGGAACTATTGAGCAACCATTTCTCTTAAACCCTGTACTGCCCTTATATAGAAGAAAAGAAACAGCAGTATTGCATACCAATGCCTTTAATATTTCCAAATATCGCTTTCCCATTGAGAGATCACAATTGTCCCATCCTGAACTTTTATACATTTGGGATGTGTGATGCATGTGGTGGCACTATCTCGAAGTTAACAATGAGCAATTCAAAATGATTGAACGGCTTGTATGATGTGCTTAATATACACTTAATACATGCATCTGGCAGCCTTTCCTTTAGATGATGCACTATAGACCAAGATAGGCGGCCCATTGTGGAAAGCCTGAAAATTGCTATACTAAAATAGGTTCTAGCAGAGCTTTCCTTGCAGAAGGCATTTTGACTGTTGCCATATTTTATTTATTTATATTTATTATTATTTGTAGCTTTTCTTATGGAGCGCAACATTTATAAATGAGTGTGGTTTCTTCGCTTTAAGGACATACAAATTGCTTGCCCTTGCCTGTCAAGCATGATCCGCGGATTTTACTTTGCCCATTATGAAGGCAATTTTTACTGTCGGAAATTTGCATACCTCCTTTCTTGAAAAGTAATGACAGCAATTTCTTTCTCTCTCCACTCGCTTTCTGAGTGTCTCATTTAGTGGCACCTGCGAAACCGACAGGCGCGAGGATGAGAAGTGAAAGAGAGCAGTTGATTAAATCATCATCAAGTCGAGCTGCAGAAAGTCAATTCTGCTTGCCGTCTACAATGATATCCTTTTATCTTAAAGTAATGAGCTATGGCACTTTTGCATCGGGTAATGCGATGAGTTCTATTAGCATGTTCCATTTGCTTCACAAGCAAGGGCAAGTCATTTCGGCATGCTTATATCTCAGCAATCAAAGCAATTGGCTGCATAGGCAGGGAAGAAAGAAAAAAGACTCAGGGTGTTTTTATGGATCACAACACAGTGGAAAAAATAATTTCCCCCATTATTTTAACTCCTTGCTTGCCAAGCGGCCCTTTTCATCTGCACATTTGCTGAAAAGGGGCTCGTGAGTGATAGATCACTGCCCAAAATGTAGTCGGCTTCACCATTTTTCTTTTACAAAATGACATAAAATATGTAATAAAACTGCAGTCTTAAACAACATCAGTGCAGCTGTAGTATTTCAAATGCTTTTTGTATCATGCTTTTATCCTGTGTTTGCTTCTTTAATATATATTCTTTCACTCTCTGAACCAGAAATCGCAAAGCATTTTTATGTGCTGTGGGTGACTTTTATGTATGACTGCTGGCTTTTTCTAAAGTGTATTAAAAGAGAGGAGAGAGAGTGTTAGAAGTGTTTGCACAGTGCGTTTATTGCCTTTGCATAATTTATGAGCTGTGTGAGCTGACCATCATTCGTCTCTGCCAGAGGCTGGCTCCTGGGGCTCTGGAGGACAGAGCTGTAAATTGGATGGCGTGCTCCTGCTGAGCTCGCAGCAAAGTCCGTGGGTCAGTGAGGGAATTCAGTGCCAGAAATTGAGCCGGTACCTTTGAGCTCTGTGGGGCCCCAGCTCAGCAAAGGCTTAGGCAGGAGCAATGCTGGCCCAACTCACAACACTGTCAATCACTGGCAGCCAATGGAGGAGCAAACCTGAGCTTTTTCATCACCCCGGTTTGCGTGCAGCTTTCATTATGGACTCCAGTAGCTTCCAGTCCTTGGCCATATGCTTAGCTTTGGAGACAAGATGCCTTCGGGTATACAAGAAATTAGTTAATAAAGAATTAAGTGGACCTTGAAATTGAAATTGGGAAGAATAACTTTAAACCACCCCCCTCCGTCCCCTTTCTGCGTTTTTTCCTTTCTTTCTGTTCTGAACTCCCCCACTCTTCCTTATTTTACACTAGGAAGCTTCTAGGAATAGACCAGACCTGCTTGATGCTTTGATTCGAAATGGCCATGAGTTTTTTTTCCCAAATGGTATCCGTCTAGTTCAGCCTATGATTTTTTTTGGTGATTTTAATCTAGTTTTTTTTCTGATTTTGTTGAATGATTTAGTGATGATTTGATTATATACAGAGCCCTCCGAAATTATTCATAATGAAGCAGGAACATTCAGCATCAAATAACTGTGAAAGTTACAGATTGGATAATGATTCTGGCTTTACAAATTATATAAATGTTATACAGTAATCTGAACAGCATTGCAAAGAGCAAAGGCATGTTTTTCAAGAATAACTTAAGTCCGTAAAACACACGGGTCACAATCATTTCCTCCATTGTAATTAGTGGTTGCTAAGTCTTCCTTTTTCTGGGAAAACTCATTGTTTGCTATGAGTTTCTGTTTCAGATGTAAGATTTATGAACATGTAGAATTGCTGACCCTTTGGTTTCCTTTTGTGAAGAGCCATCTTGGGTTATAATTATAAATGTTCAAATGGATTGAGGTCTGGAGTTTGAGATTGCCAGTCAAGAACATTTATTTTATGTGCAGTACCAGCAGGCTTCAATCTCTTGATAATTTCCACTACAGTGGAAAGTGGTAGACTGGGCTTTTTGTAGAGTCTTTTATAGGGCAGCCTGCAATGTGTGGAGGTAAATGACCAGTTGCCACCAGTCTTCCGAGAATTTACTGACCTTGATCATGATTCTAAACGTTTCTATTGAACGTTTCCCATGTATTACCCTCAGGGAAACAGGAAGCCTTCAGACACCACAGTATAATTCCGAAGACTTCTCCTGCACATCTTGTTACTGTAGATTTGTTTTTCTTTAATTTGGTTTAAAAGAACACTTAAAGCTGTGAATATATGCGACCCTCTTAAATTCTGAAAATCAATTAATTCTGACAATATGACTTTACTCTGTGCATTGCTGCTGTTATTACAGTATAACATTATTTGATTTTTTTAAAGTGAGACACAACATTCAGTCCATATCTCATTCTCTTTTTATGTTTTGTGTTCCTTTTTCAGCAAGGATATGAATAAATTGGGTGGGAACCGTGTAATATACAGATCTAAAAAGTGTGCATAATTTTAGAACATATGAAAGGTTACAAACTAGAGAAGGCCATTTTGCAACATTTTGCAACTTTTAATATTGTCTATAATTTCTAAATGCATTATTGTTTTATATGTTATATATTGAAGAGTTAAATTTTGACCTGCATTTCACTGTGCATTCATCACCCATTCATTACTGTACAGTCACTAATCCTTTATGTCTAACACATTGTAAGAAATAAGATACAGAACTCAGTGACCTGATTATATAACTTTTGTGTTAAACACCGAAATAAACAGTTTAGAATAAGTAATCTTACTCGCCATAGATTATCCATTTTAAGCATCAAATACAAGCTTACTCTTTCTGTGAATCATGTGTAAATGGGACATCTTAATATTTCATTCCATGTCTCCCTAGAGTTTCAAACTCTGATACTCATTTGCTTGCATTTTAAGAATAATTTAAGTATTTAAATATCATTTATTCCATAATCAAATTCAGATCTCAGCAGAATAGAGCCTCTGATAGGTTTATACAGTACCTCAGGTATTTAGCTATTAAATACTTCTTTAAAAAAGCAACGTATGGCTGTTTATTTAATAGTTGGTGATTTTGGAAGCTTAAGAGCTTCACGTTTAGTGAGCGCTCAAGCTTCTTTTTCATTTTTTTCTCATACTGTTCAAATGTAACGGAAATAAAACGGCAATAGAGTAAGCAAGAGCAGTAAATACATTTGGACGGTAATGTGGTGGCAGAGAACCTCTGTCGAAATGGACATAGTTTAATGAGTTATGGTGAACTGACCATGCCCTTCTTTTGTCTTGCAGTGTGACAGCGAGAGTGACCAAGAAGAAAAGGTAGGGGATACATGAGCTTTTTCCAATTGACTAGATCTGCAACTTAATGAATAACCTTGTTCATACTGTGACTTCAGGAAGGATGCTCTGTAAGACTTGTATTAAGTGTGAATTTCTATTTAATTAGAATTAAACAGCTAATTAATGACTGTGAGATAGCCGCAATTAACTGTGCATTAATTATGAATAACTAACTGGCATGCAAAATTTAAATTGAACAGTTATGAAGCGTGTAGGAATGCTTCACACATAAGTAAGGTGCAAACAAAACAGCATGCTGCTGTGTGTATCTATATGGGTGTGTGGATATTCGTCTTGTAGATTTTGTCTGGATTTGTGTTAACTGATTCAGCTTCATGGAAACTCTTCAAGTCTAGATGTGTTCCACTTTCAGGGACATTTGAACACGAATGCAGTATCTCCCACTAATTGTACGTGTTTTGTTTAGCATGGGGATTTCAAAAACATTTTGAAGTCCCTACTTTGTAGAAACATGCAAAATCCCCAAATACCTTGTATATTGCATCAATCTTTGTAGCAGTTACTATGACCTGAAACAGAGGCAAAGGTCTGAAGTGTACCTAACTTTAGCTTTCCAGACAGAGTTTGAGTCTATACATCTTCATATAGATGAGCACAGCCTTACAGATGCAGTCTGTACTCTCACATGCAGTAGATTTATGCAAACTGTTTTGCATCTTCACCTCTTCGTGTGACAATTAATACCCCGTACAGAGCAATTTGATTGGTCAACATGTGTTGAATCAATGGGACTTCATTCAGTTCCCATATAATCCTGTTTTCAACATGTGATAAATGTGCAGATCTTATGCCGTGTACAGTATATGACACTTTATTCAAGGCATTTTAATTATTTTGTTGTTAGTTCGGAAGCTGCTTTAACATTCCTGCTACTAGGAAGATGTTTTACTTTATTCCTGTTGAGCCCCCTGGGCCCATGATTTTAAAAGAGGTGCCAGATCCAACTCTCATCCGAGCCAGAGCCACCAGCAGACAAATTTTGTGTTTAGAAAAATCATGGCGGTTTCAATGATAGACTGAAACATTTCTCATTAAAAGCTCAAATACTAAGAAAACAAAAAGATTTTCACTGGAATATTGAAACTTTATAAAATTATTTGTTCTAAGAATAATTATGTTGAATGAGGCAGGTTTTCATCTATATTTTGTATTTTCATTTTAATGTACATATGTTAAGCTTATGAATAAATATGTACGCATGTTTAACAGCACATGGGGTTGCTTCCAGGCTGAAGATAGTTTTACAAGGTCGGTTCACGTTTTTCAGTGGATACACAATCATGATGATTTCAGTTAGCTCATTCCCAAATCCTGCCTCAGACCCGAATTTAACATAATTTCATAACCATTTAATCAATTAATTAAATTAATATAATTTCATGATACAAGTTTTAAGAATGAGAGATTGTAGTTGTGTTGTAAGATAGTTATATGACAATAAGGCACAATAATAATAATAAGTTCTGACAAGGGTTTCAAAACCTGGCATTGACTCTACCATTCTACTACACATCTAGATTTGTTTTTTCTTCGACACTACTTGTTCTTATTAAATTCCACAAGCTCATAACCTTTCAAACAATTATTTACAAACTCAATTTGTGTATGTTTGGCAGGCAGCTGAGCAGTCAGTTCTCGGTGTATCAATTTTAAAGCAAAGGGAGATGCACAAGCACCCAAGTGTGTTACAGTGCAAAACGGGCCTGTGGAGAAAGACGATTGTGCTGAATATGGAAGATCACTTTAGTTTTAACAGACTTCCTTATGCCTTGGATTCTGTTGACAGAAATGTACTGTTTTCATCCTGGGAAATCCACTTTCTTCACACTTAAAAAATAATAATGCATCTCCTAAAAGCAGTGCAATTTTTTTTTGGAACTTAATTAGATTAATCAAAATAAAATTCTAAATATACATTTATATTTTTCGATTAAAAATCTCAATCTTAACTCTTCACTTCATTCATTGAGGTTTTTGTTTAATCTCTGACACCCTGGGTCAGTAGCCTTCCTATTTGTGCAATGCCGTCAAGTACCATGACTGAAGGTATATTCTTTTTGTAGTTCCGTGTAATTGTTAGATATTTCATTTACCTAAAGCAAGCTTCCCTAATTCCCTAAAACATGCATATGTTATATAGGTCTTCTTCAATCAGCAGCAACTTCAGACCTATACCTGAGTGCTAGAGTGGTCAAGTTAAACCGCCACCAGAGTGGTGGCACTGTGGCTAAGGATCTGCACCTGTGGCTGAAAGGCTGCCGGTTCAAATCCCGCGGCCAGAAGAGGAATCCTACTTCGTCGGGCCCCCGAGCATGGCCCTTAACCCCAGCTGCTCCAGTCGTATAAATGGCTGACCCTGCGCTCTGACCCTCCTGTGTGTCTCATGGTGAGCAAGCTGGGGTGTGCCAAAAGACAAATTCCTAATGCAAGAAGTTGTATAGGGCTAATAAAATTATCTTAATTGCCCCTAATTTAACTAATCTGACCCTGCTCCTGAGGTCTTGTGCTGTTTATAATTTAAAGAGACAAGTTTGCTTGGCTATTGCAAGGGACAGTGGTCTACAGAACGTGGAGCACAGAAAGCAACAATATTGGCCTGCCTAGCGTAAGAGAAGTATAATTTCTATCCATAGTCCTTAACCATATTTGTTTGGACCTTAAAAGGTCAAATTAATAATTAAAGACCTGTCTGGGTTAAGAAACCCTTGTAATGGAAATTATAGGTTCACTGCTTTGATGTAATACATATTTAAAATGAAATATTAGTTCCATGGAATACTACCCTCTTAGGTGATAAAGTATTATAATTATAAATTTGGGGAAATAATAATTATTTTGAAAAAAAAATCTAGAGCCATTTAAAAGGTCACAACAGGCTGCACTTTTTGATGGGTAATATGTGATCTGAATGCACTATGCTTACTGATGTGTTAAGTGGTAATATTTTAATAACATACTTTTATTACATACTACATCATATTTGTTGTTAATTGTTTTTTCCTTATTTCAGTGTTTTTTCCACGGTCAGTTAGAAGTGTTGTTCCTGTATCTGAATTCTAAAAGTAAGAAAACTAACAAATGCAGGCTACCTTGCTGACGTGCAGAAATACTCATATTTTTAGATATTTTTGGGTGCTGTACAGAAGTTGTTTTGGGTTTGTGTAATGATCGCTGATGATGCAGTCTTCTCTGTGGTCATTGCAAATTCTGATTTTCTCACTGTGTTAAGTGTGCTAAACACTCTTCAAAGAAGATGCTTTATGTGACTGCGAATGAAATGTGCAGCTTCACAGGTTTTTTTCACAGTTTCTCTACAACTCTTCACGTTGGTGCAATGTTAGCTAACGTTTGTCATTTTCAGTCATGTTACCAGTGAATGTGTTGTGCCTTCTGTCAAAAGTTAATATCAAGGAGTGCTCGAGAGCTCTGATGGTTCATGATATGTGATGAATTAATTCTTAATGAACAAATTTAGGACACAAATTTGTCCTGGCCTGAAAATGTTTTGTTTCTTTTTTAATGATTTATGGCTATATTGTATATTACATTTTCAAGGGATTTAAATATTATTATATTGCATATTATTATATCTGCATAAAAGGTATCAGAACCTGATAGCATACTGCCATTGTGGATACAGTAGTTTCTTAAATGCAATTCATGAGCAACTCTCCTTCACTGAAGTGTAAGAAAACGTTTTGTGCTGGCATAGGACATATTGCCTGGAGCAATCGTTGATTAAGCAGATAAACGTCCTGAAAGTGAGAAAATTTCAAACAGCAGCTAACACACAGTAAGGATCTTAATTTAATGATACCAGCAGGTATGAAGCTAAATGTGTGACTCACACCTCATGCTTTGATTTTTTTCTAAGAGTTGTGCAGCTTGACATCATACATTTGTAGTGTTCCTATAATTATGCTGTGCAGGCCATAAATGCATTACACACCATCTTCATATTTGAGGATTGTTGTCTTGAGTGTTTCAGAAGAGGGTTAACACTACAATGGAAGCAGTAAAACATTTTGTAATAGTGCAGCTTGTGGGCTTATTTTTGGATTTGCTTAAATAGGTTTTTCCAAGTACCGAAAGAAAATAGGCACTGCACCGATACCAGTGCCCTACCTTTTCTTTCAGTGCTGGTCATAATCTCAAAAGATATATAAAGATATAAGGTATATTCACACCTTATTGTCTACAGTACGAGCATTGTAATCAAATTTGATTGCAAATAGTTGAATGCATAGTCTTTGCAAAAGTCAAAAATAGCAGTTTAAAAATAGACATTTCTATAAGGAGAAAAACTTTGGCAGCACTGCCATAACCTTTGCTAGACACATGTACCACATGTTCAGACCCTCCCTGTCCTCTGTCTGTACCTTCCACAAGGGGGTTGGAGGCGTATGCTGTGCTGTTAATTTGAATTCAGCATAGGCAGTCTATTTACAGAATGCAGGGGACACCATCACTTTAGCAGGTCAAGCATATTCAGATGAAGACAAATGTTGGTTATTTGATTTCCTTAAAATCAGGAAATGAAAAAAGTGCTCTCCAGAGAAATCATGTTCCGCCTGACTTGAGAACTGGACGGAGGCATGTAGCCGTGATCAGAACAGCCACTCATCTCACGTTTTTATCTCTGAAGGACGGTCAGCACTGTCAGCTCGCTGACATGTGCATTATCCTTGTCATTTTAAACAAAGTGACCTGTAGGAAGGAGCGCTCTGCCGTGACATGATAATGGGCTGTTGGATGACAGATAAAGTACACGCTATAAAGCAGCCCTTGTAGTAGTATTATTATTTTTTTGTTGTTTAACTGACAACCTAGAACTTCCCTTTTTTCCCCATAGACATCAAAGCCTGTTCATTTTTAAAAAGAGTTTTGCGAAGAATGGAGAACCTGTGAGAAGCACTGTGTGGCTGACAGGCAATCACAATTAGTTTGAATCACACGAA